TTTTGATGTGCACGAATTCATGCACTGGGCCACTAGTATGCATATATGCATAACCCATGGGACACAGACAATAGAGTGGTGAAGGCCTGGGAGAGGTAGGTGCGGGTTTGAGGGGGTCAATGGGAAACAAAAAAACTGGACATCTTTCATGCTTTCAGCAATAAAGATAAATTAAAATAAGTAAATAAATATATATATTTTGCCACTATGCCTAAATTCCTCCTACGTGAGTGTCCTGAAATTCATTTCCCTTGACACCAGAGTAGTGCCTATTTACAACTGGTGATGGGAGAGACCCTCCTTTAGTGTCAGTCCTCTTCTGGTAACAAAAGAGTTCTCACTCATTCTCACACTCATTAGAATGCAGCAGAAAATGTTTTATTGCTGCTAATGCAGCATAGCAAAGCTTAACAGAAGTCCTGAGGTTAAAATTATGGAGGTTTGAACACTTCATTGCCCTCTTCCTTATTGCCTTCTTTTGAAACACACAGAGCTCCGAAGCAGAAATGAATCCTATTTCTTTTTGTCCCAACTCTTGTCTAGTGTCCTTGATACTCTAATTCTCCCAATACCTTCCTTTTTTGTTCTATGGGAACTAGGGATATCAGCAAAGAAAAGGCAGAAGAGAGCATAAGGGAACCTGCACCAAGTGAGAGGCAAAATGATAAGAACTTTAAACAACCTTATCTAAGTGAACAGGAACCAAATGAGAGGGAGGGTCTCTCTTCTGAGGGGGGTCACAGGCACTAATGAAGAACTTGTACTGTGCAGCATCTTTGTAGCAGCAGTTAGGATACTTCCCTGCAGTGAGATTGCAGTTAGTGAGGTTAATAGGTTTGGGGCTCTGGTGGCCTTTCTTGCAGACAATCTTGGGCAACTCACAGGCAGCAGCCACATTCTGGAAGGAGTCATGCAGAAAGGTGGTTTGAGGCTTACAGTGCTGAGTATAATTATTGACACCATGCATTGCCTTGTTGCATTGCAGAGGGCTTGGTTGTGTATGATGAATTTCAAACCACTGAGCCTTGGTGAGATTATTAGGCAAAGCATTGTTGCTAGATTGGATGCTGCTGGATTTATGAATCACTTAATAAAGCCAAATTTACTCTGTTGAATTTTGTTTGGTAACAGAGGGGAAGGATCACCATGAATTGGAGCCTACAAGCTTCTCAATGGCCAAAGAAGTAAACATAGGACAGTAGCAACAAATTGGAAAGGAGTTTCGGTGGCTGAAATGTGTATAGTATATTGCTGGAACCGTAAGTGGCTAGGTATGACTGCTTTTAAGAGGAAAGTAAAGTGAATGATAGGAGATGAGGCCAGAGAGGTGAGCAAACGTCATATTATGTAGGAGATTATGTGCTGTACTAGAGAAAGTTGATATTTCCTATAGGATATGCATCTAGTATACACGAAAAATTCCAAAATTTGGATGGCACAGTCATGCTGGTGATCATGAAGATCACAAATGTTGCAAATTGATTTTATTCATTAGAGTTTTTGGTTGCCAACAACCCAAAACAATTTGAGGTAGCTTAAGAGGAAAAATGTAAATGGTGGTGTGAGTAGGGTGGGGATTTATTGGAAGAATGTGGGAGAGATTACAATACGAAAAAAATATAGCAGAAGAATTGGTGTTTGGAAATAGCTGAAACCTAATAAGCTGAGTTAAGCTAGAGATCAGGGCTTAATGGGCATAAATCCACTTCCTTCTTTTTTCTTTTTTTAACCCTGAATCACTACTTGAAATTCAGACTCTGAGGACAGTGTAGGGGAGAAAAAAAATCTTTTTTTTATCCTTTTAGATTCTCAGCTAAAACCTCTGTAACCAAAAGCAGATTAACAAGAGAAAAACAAACAAGTAATTATCATGAATATCTCATACATACATGAGAAAAACTCAAAGATGAGTAACTGAAAGAGGTGGCCAGCACTTGGGCACATACTATCTTCAGCTAAAACAAAGGAAGAAGAGTGTGCAGAGGCAAGTTGTGGAAAAGTGACTGTTAAATCCGTGCTAATGAAGCATCCATCTTATATAAGAACTGCTGTTTGAAATTTTAACCCGGCTATTTTGGCTTCTGTAAACACTTGCTTGCTTAAATAATAAAAAAAAAATAAGACTACTCCCATTCCAGAGAGGCCATAAACTATGCCCCAGACAAAGTTGTCAGTGCTGGCACCAGGCCAGTCCTTGAGATATGGTCTCATGGCCCCTTCCCAGCACACAGGCCTCCTTTCTCAGAAGGCCCAGAAGTTTCATTCCAAATTTTGGAGACAAAGGACTGGAAAAAGTGTAGAGAATGTTTCCTCCATGTTGGGGGCTCAGAATTTGAAAGACACATTTTTCTCTGGGCCTGCGCATAATTACAATTAAAATATAACTTCCCTTTCTCTAAGCATTGCTTGTTTTTTTCTCCAGTCTTCTCTAACACTGACTGGAGACAGGCCAAGAAACATGGTGAGAGCTTAAGAAATTTTATTGCATTCTCTCAGAGTGGGCTGGGTCCAATGTGTTGATGTCAGCAAGCAAGAGTAGGAAGGGCGGGATATATATATATATATATAATCTCCTGTGCAGGACAGGGTAACCAGTCCAACTAAGTGCAGGTGGGAGGCCAGATATACCAGGTGTATCGATTAATAATGCAGTTTTTTTTCAATAGATGGAGTTATAGGTATGTTGATATATATGCGTTTTGATCGTTTTGATACCGATACTATTTTGTTGTATTGACCACAAACTTCAAAACTTCATATGTCAAATTTTCTGAAAGTGTTAACATCATAGATATTTTTATGTTTAAAAATGTTGAATTTTATGCCAAAAAAAGAGCATTAATGGGAAGTTTTAATTCATTACTTTATTTTGAAGGAAAGTCTTGCTGAAAATTATCATATACTTTGGGAAGCTTATGGTGAACATGCTCCATCTCAAGATACTTGTGAACACTGGTTTAAATGCTTTAAAAGTGATGATTTCTATGTGAAAGGCAAAGAACATCCAGGTCAACCAAAAAAGTTTGAAGACCAACAATTACAAGCATTATTGGAAGAAGATGCATGTCAAACTCAAAAACAACTTGCAGAAAGATTAAATGTTGCTCAGCAAACAATTTCTCATCGTTTTCAAGCAATGGAAAAGATTTTAAAGGAAGGAAAATGGGTGCCACATCAACTGAACAAAAGACAAATGGAAAACTGAAAAGTCATCAGTAAAATGTTGCTTCAATGGAATGAAAGAAAGTCTTTTTTTTTTTTGCATTGAACTATGACTGGCAATGAAATGTGGATTTATTTTGAGAATCCCAAATGCACAAAAACATGGGTTGATCCAGGTCAACCATCAACATCGACTGCAAAGCCAAATCACTTCAGAAAGAAGACAATGCTCTGCGTTTGATGGATCAGGAAGGTGTGGTGTATTATGAGCTTCTAAAACCAGGTGAAACTGTTAATACTGATCACTACTGACAACAAATTATCAATCTGAACCACACTTTGATGGTAAAATGACCAGAATGGGCCAGAAGACATGGCAAAGTAATTTTGCTTCATGATAATGCACCATCACACACTTTAAAACCAGTTAAAGACACGTTAAAAGATTTTGCCTGGGAAGTATTAGCCCACCCGAGGTATTCACCAGACCTTGCTCCTTCAGATTACCACTTGTTCTGATAGATGGCACATGTAATTTCTGAGCAGCACTTCAAAACATATGAAGAAGTGAAAAATTGGGTCTCTGAATGGTTTGCCTCAAAACAAGAAAAGCTCTATTGGGACGGTATCCACAAATTACCTGAAAGATGAGGAAAATGTGTAGCTAGCAGTGGACATTACTTTGAATAAAGTACTTTTGATGTTTCTCTTGAATTATCATGTTTTCTGAATTATTAACCAGTACCAATTTATCTCCTCATCTAGAACACTGGAGGTCAGTCTAAGAAGAGCCAGGAGCTCTTTGTGTCATACATCAAAGACAGTCTTCTGGTACAAAGGAATGGCAAGGCCTTGGGGGTAGGAGATAAAGAATAAAATTCAACCAAGTAAGTTTGAAGATCTAATTGGCTTTATTAAGCAATTCAGGAATTGGGCAGCATCCCATCTAGCAACTAGAAAGCACTTTGGTGAGTTGTACAAAATGGGAGGTTTTATAGGCAGAAAGAAGGTGGATTACCAAGTTAATAGAGTGGTTTATTTTAAACAGGACACCTTCATTCAGAGGTGGGCAGGGGGTCATATCAGGCAGATTACCTTATCAGTGCTGATTAGGAAATTCCAAATTGATTAGTTTACAATTCCACCTCTGGAAGAGGCTGAAATTTGGTTAGTTATTAAGTTTTAGTTTGGTGACTTGAATTAGCAAAAATGATTCACAATTTTACTCATGAATTTTCATGCCTATGACTTTTTGACTTTACAATAGTGTGAAAGCAATATGCATTCAGTAGAAACTGCCTGGGCTAAGCTATGATGTTCAGTAGTGTTGAAAAGAATGGTTGAAAACAGCCCAAAATAGAGTCACTTTTGGTAATCATGTGAAGTAACAGATACATTGATTACCTTGATTGTATTGATTTCTTCACAATGCAAATGTATACTCAATCAGGTTAAATATAAACAATGGATATTTCCTGCAATTCAAATATTTTCTGTTTGGTCCTTTCACGGGGGCGTGCGTGCACACACACATGCACACACACACACACTCTCACATACATATTTCCCTTCTTAGCTGCTGGTGTCTTCATACATCTCTGTTCCGCAATTTGTTTCAAAATAATCGAAGGGGAAAGAGAAGGGTGTGAGAATTGTCTTTAGTAAATGACACAAATGTTTCTGTGTCGTGGTCATTGATCCAATAGGTTTTAATTGTGAACCAATTTATGAGGGTATTAAGGTGTTGGTGCATGTTAAAAACTAGGGAAGAATTAAAAGAGGATAGAAGAAAAAAATCTTCACATAAATACCATAGCACCATATTCACAGATATCTGTAATTTGAGTTCTTTATTTAAAGGAGTACATGAAAAATCTTTTAAATCAGGAAGAGTGAATGAGTCTTAATGATCTAGTACATTGTTAATACTTTAACTTACTACAATGATTCAAAAGTTTGGGAAGAGAAAAATATAGTTCTTTGTATCATGTCTTAGTCTTATTAGATCCAAACATAACAAGGTTGCCAATTATACAGACAATTGTACAAAATGAGTCTCATTTTGCCAGTTTATACTTCCAAGTTTTTAATGCTTCCCCCAACTGCTGACTTTTGAGAATATTAAAAAGATGATACTTTCAAACACTCCTTATGATGAAGTAGAAAAAGTCCCGGATTAGTAGCCAGTTGAAGTGGATTTGTTGCTTCAGCATTTCCACTAACTTCATCCTCTTCAGGAAATTCTTTAACTTTGGGCTCCTATATGTAGCAACATCAGCATCACAGGGGTGCAGTGGTATTAAAATGAGGAGGTGCTTCCATTTTAAGATGGAAGCACCTTAAAATACTGGTAATGCTATATCATATACATAATAACTAAATTCCAGAAGATAGGATCTGAGAGAGCTAAGCTGACCAGTATTATAAAGGAAACAGAAGAGTTTGTAGAATTTTTTCTTACAGAAAAGCCCAGTCCCATTATAGGTTTATGTCTCCATTTCTCTTTGATGCATTTAACAGAATGGATTATATAGAGAAAAGGGAGTAATAAGCAGAGGAGGCAGAGCCCGAGACAGCTCAAATGCATTACAAATTGCTATTCAAGCAATAAGTAAAAGGTCAACCACGGGGCCATAACCCCTTCAGAGTAGCATCTAGCTGTCAAGGTGCACAGGCACCAGGGGGTTACCCTCACAGGCAATGACAACACGCCTAGAGCTGCCCCTGCCCTGATATCTGCAGTTTTGTGGGAAACGTGCTGTAAGCCTGCAGTCTGTGACTCTCACTACACCTGCATGGCAGTTCATCCTGCCATTCTTGCACCGGATGTTGGTGGTCCTGCAGATGTTGTTAATGGTCCTGATGTTTTCGTGGATGAAGGTGTTGAATTGCTTGCACGTAGGCCTGGTCATTCCCCGTCTTTGCATCATCGTGTTGCAGTACAAGTTGGTGCCACCTGGCCCTCTAGAGTCCACGTGTTGCCGCAGGAATCGTTGGTACGTGGACTGGCCATAGGAGGGCTGCACCAACCCCAGCCCCAGCAGGGTCAGCAGCAAGAGCAGAAGCAATGAAAGGGTCTTCTGGAGAGCCATCACTGCCTTGGAGGTGCCTGGAGAGAAACCAAGAGGTAGGAGAAAGGAAGGTAACAAATGGGCACCAGAGAGAGGTGTTGAGAATGGCAAGCTGATATTTCCTCAACTCTATAGTCTACTCTTTCCTCCCCAATTCTCTGCTCACAACTTTTCTCATCACTGCTTCCCCAAAAGTTAAAAGTTTGCAAACATGATCTTCTCTGAAAGCAAGAACTTTTCTCTTTTATAAGAGAGACAGTGCTGTAGCCAGTACAATGACTCAGGGCAGAGACTGACGGGCTGGATGTCCAAGTGTATATGTCCTTTATGGTCAGGGTGTGAAAAGGGAGAAAAGGCAGATCTAAATGAAACTAGAGTTGTCTGTCTCTTGAGGAAATTTTCTAGTCATGTGATCTTTGGAGAGTGTTTGGTTCCCTGGAGACTCTGATTCCCAAAGGTTTGGACAGACAGGATATGCCAATGAGAGTTTGTAAACTGATTTTAATTCCTGACATCTGGGAATTGAGGAAGGTGTGGGAAAAGAATAGAGTAACATTTAGGGTTAGCCTTTCCTCTCATATGTCTATTCTTTTTTTAAATTAAAAAAATTTCAAATTACAGTTGACATATACTATATTAGTTTCAGGTGTACCACACAGTGATTACACATTTATATACCTTAGGAGGTGATCACCACATAAGTCTAGCACCCTATCTGACACCGTACATGGTTATTACAATGCTATTGACTATATTCCCTATGATGACTTGGCATCCCCATGGCTATTTTTAAAACTGGCCATTTGTACTTTTTAATTCCTTCACCTTTTTCACCCGTTGGCATTCTTTTAATGATATTAAAATTGAGCTGGTTTTTTTGAAAACTTATAAATCCTATTTTAAAAAATGGAGTATCCAGCCAAAGTGCTCTGAAAATAGTAAATATTGGTTGAGTGAACTAATAAACAAAACAAGGGAGCTAATTAATGAAGAAATGATATGGATATAGGGAATGAAGGTGTTTCCCAGGCTTGTAGAATTGACTGATAAAAGAAATTTTAAAAATAAATCTCAACAGCACAATCTCCACAAAAGAGGACTTGGACTGTGACTTCTTTCCTTGCTGTTTATATGCACAACCTAAAAACTAGGCCCTGGTGATATAATTCATCATCATGCATGTATCCTTCAGGCTGAGTCTATCTTCTCAATAGCTGTTTTTAGTTTGCTGTCCACTCTAGTTGCAGAATTATTCTGTTGGCATTTTTGGCAGCGTAAAATAAGCATGTTTAATAGAGTTCTTTTTTAAAAAAACACAAAACTAAACAAAAACCTTCAGAGCCACAACAAAGAAAGCATTGCCATCTAGTGTTAGAACATTGCTTCTGTTGACTGAGGAAAGGAAGCAACCAAGACCTATCTGAGCCTAAAATCAGTGCTTTTTCCACATCTTCTACTCCCTCTCTCTTTACACTCCCCAAATATTCAGGATATTAAAGACCTTTATGTTCAGAGTTGCTTCTCTGTAGTAACAGAGTTTAATCAGGGGTGGGATAGGGTAGGATGGGAAGTGGGACTCTCTCACCAACACTAACTAGCTAGATGCTGCCATCTGACGGACTCTCCTGGGATTGGCATGAACTCATGAATTGTGAATCTCTTTGACCATGGCAATGAGGCAGGGCTGACTCACTATAGAAGCGATTTTCAACCTTTTTCATCTCGTGGCACACATAAACTAATTATTAAACTCTGAAGCACACCAAAAATATATTATTTGTCAATCTGACTAAATAAATAGTTATAATTTTGATTCATTCACACCAGGCAGCTATTGTGTTGGTTGTCATTTTTTTCAATTTGACAATCTAAGGGAAAAGTGGTCAGTTTCCCTGACTAGTCAGATACTGCAGGTTTTAAAAATTTGGGGGGCATACCAGTTGAAAATCTCTTCACTAGAGCAAATAAAATTAATCTCTGACTCAACAGGAAGTGAGCAACCAAACAGAAATAACCGTTTTTTGAGGGTCATACAGGCCCATTTCTACACATGCAGTCCAAGGGCTGATAGTAGCTGAAGTCCTAGTTTGATGAATATGGGTACTACTGTCCTTTGTTTTCAAAGAAGCTTCATGATGGCAGGTCACACTGTCTGGATGACTGAAATGGCTGATGAGGGACCTGCATACCAGTTTCAAACATAACTTAATTCTCTAAAATGCTATCTCCTATAGTCACAGCCGCCTTTTGCTTGTATACAAAAGGCTAGAAGGCTCTAGGTCACATTTCAGTGCCTACAGCTATAGATATGAGATATGGACTTAGGAAGAGCTAGAAGGGGACAGTTGTGGGAAGAAGAGTTGCAGGGAGAAATGATGCTGATTAACTCCTCATCCTTAGACTAATGGATAGAATTTCTGAAGGTACACTTAGCACTTGGATAATAGTTTCATCACAACAATGTACTTTGGGTTATTTTCTCCAAATCTAATCTTGCAGGGGTAATCTTGCACCTCTGATTTTGCATGGTTTTGTCTAACTTTTTCTCATCCTGCTTCTTTGTGTCCAAGATATGATTTAGAAAGATAACTGGCTACAGAGAAGACCTAAACTATTCATGCAAGAGCAAACCCACAGCCTCAGCCACAATAACCAACTGATTTAATAAGACATCAAATATTTGGCAACAGAAGTTCAATGTAGCCATCAAGGGGTGTATCTCAGTACCGGAGCTACAACAGAAAATGAATTGATCCCCAAACCATCCCAACACATACTTTTTGGTCAGAGCTTGCCTCAAAGGCTCTCTCCACTCTACCGCACTGATCCTCAATAATAACTTCTTTTGATACTGTGATCCCAAAGAACTAGTTCTGCCACTTTAAGTATATGATCTGGAGAAAATTACTTAACGTCACTCAGCATTATTCCTCATATGTAACTGAGTATAATAATAGCTACCTCTAGGGATGTTATGAGGAATAAATGATAAAATCAATGTTAAGTGCTTATCATAATGCCAGGTACATGGTAAGTGCTCAGTAAGTGTTGGCAATGGTCATTTTTGCAATTTCCATTTTTCTTGGTTTCCTTTGGTTCCTTCATTCTGGATAAAATAATGAATGACTACACCACGTTGTGTATATTATTATTCCCCTCTGCCTAATTGTGTAGAGTACCTGTATTCCTTCCAAATTAGAAGGCTGTTTTTAAGTTGAAATATCTCAGCTACTCAAATTTATGCTGTGTCCCTACAAAAAATTTTCCTCTTCACATTGAGTGGAATTTTCTTCCTTGCATATCACCATCTTCAAAGGGCTTGGGCATTTTGTGGCTTTTGTTTTCTTTTCCTTGCAAAGTTGACCCGGACTTCATTTCCTTAAATAATTCACTTGAGATACATACTATCTTGCCTGTCACATGACATTTCATTTTAAGCAGCTTTAAGTTGTGAGAGCACAAGAGACCCAGAGCAAAAAGTGCTAGGCTTGGCTACCCAGCTGCTAGTTCCCTTAGCACGTCAGCAACCAGCCCCATCCCATTGCCATGTGATTCCCTAGGAAACAGTCATTTGCCCTAACACCAGAGCAGAGAATGCAATGATAATACTCTAAGCAGATGTTTGGAGAAGATTTGTGTTTTCCCAGCTATGGCACACTCAATATAATAATGATCCACACCTTTGGCCTTTCCTATCAAGGCCTGGAGTAGGTCAACGATCTGTATGGAAGACATCTTGCATCATATCAAGGTGAAGGTACTGGTTGGAGAACCTCAGAAAAGGGTCCAAATATTCTACCAAAATCTGAACTTTTCTCACTTCCTAAGGGTATTTTGGGATTTTAAATAAGGCAAATTTTCTATTAAGAGAGGTTTGGAAAATGCTTCTTCCTACTTACTTAGAAAATGACAGTGATATGAAGTTTGAAATAGGTTCACTCAAGGAAGAAAGATTCATGTGCTGAGTGTGCACCAGTAATTTACTTCTCCATTTCTTCCTGCATAAATTTAAATAATTTCAGTGAGACTGGCTCTTCCAGGTGGCACCTGGACACTGATCTATGACCTGGGTATTGAAGAAGCAAAGCTTTTGGCCCATTTCAGGGCAATATAGGCAGCAGGAGAGGGCACCATTGTGAATACCGTGACCACCACCGTCATATATTCACAAGACAGTAAAACTAGTGATTCATAATTGTAATTTATTAGCAACTACTTTATAAATAAAATATTCAGGCACCTGTTGATAGAAATTAGGTAGCAGGAAGTTAACCATTAAATCTGTGAATTGATTGGTGTATTTTATGAAGAGTGTCTGCTTACCTAAGTTTGTGATTACTTGAAAACAAACTTAGACAAAGAGGAATAAGGGATAAGCTTGGAATCTTTCTATAAATTCCCAAAGACCTCACAGTTGCCCGACCCCCATTGATAAAGTAAAAGATTCAAGAGAAAATAATGGAAAGTAATCAAATTTTTAATCTTTATATGAAATATCCAGGAGAATACCCTGGGAGCAGTCTAGTCAAAGCAACTCAAAATTACCTCCTGCCTAAGACAAGAGGTGCATACTAGGAGTGAATGTTGGTGTTCATGCAGGAGTGTGTGTGTGTGTGTGTGTGTGTGTGTGTGTGTGTGTTAGAGAGAGAGAGAGAAAGTTTAAGAGGGAGGTAGATAGAAAGTTGAATTCATCTGTTGGTATTTAGTTCTAAACACTATTTCTCAAAGTTTTACTTTTGTAAAACTAATATTGGCTTATTTGACAGCCAGAACAATTTGCTCCTCTAAAAAATTTTGCTTAGCAGCCATGAACCCTGGCATTTCGCAGCTCTTTCTGTAAGAAGAATTTAACATCCTTACACTCACAGAAAGAGAAAGTCTCCCTCCCTATTGACTGAGAAGGAGCTAACTGATAGGGAAAAAGGCATATTTGTATTCCATGCCATCCTCTCTGGGGCAGCTGAGTAGAGAAAATGGGGAAAATCAATAAGCCAGGAATTGATGAGAAGACTTTGATTCTTAGTGATTTCAGAGACATTTTTATTTATT